AAATATAGTATTTAAAAAAAATGACATTTCAAAATTGTATTTTTCAAAAATTCTCTAAAAATAATGAAAATGATTCGTTTAAATTTCGATAATTTATTCTAACAAATGAATGTATATTTACATATCAATAATCATCAAAGACACCTATAATTATTTGTTTAGTAATCAAATATGTAAAAATTACATATAACTTTTTAAAAATACAATAAATTATTTATTGTAATTTTAAAATAAAATAAAAAATTACAAATTATATGTTCATATTTTTCATTATGATTCAAAATTATATGAAATGGATCCTTACTTATAATTTGTGTGGTAAATTTAGTTATACTGTCTTCACTGACTCGTTTTAGAAACAAATAAATCATTTAAATAATAATTTGCGATACCCTAAACAAATTTATCCACTATAAACTGACTTTTTATTCGAAAAGAACAAAACTAGTTTGTGTCATGGATCTAATTCTATGGGCGGAAAATTTGGGCCCAATGTAAAGATAATAAATATAGTAACAGAACCAAGTCTATGTGCTTATTGAACTACGTGCTGTTTTACTAAACCCTTTAACGAAGTGCATGACGTCTGTAAGCTCAACAACTGTTGGTTTCTTTTTAATAAGAGTCGGTCAATTACACACTTTTTAGTTAGTTGAATCGCTTTGGACCCACAACATATTTTGGGATAAGATGTGTGAATCTGATGCCAAAACGCGTGCATCTGTCGCTTTAACTTTCTAACGAACCTTATGAAAAAGGGTAATTGCAAATTGAAGAATATTAATTATATAACTTTTTTTGTCATCAGAAAAAGAAATATATTATAATCAAAAGAAGAAGAAAATAATAACTCCAAATTTTCCAAATATCTCACCGGCCAGAGCTATGTGAATAGTTTGAGTCCAATCGTTACGTGACACACGTAATGCTAATAGTGAATGATTCCACGTTGAAGGATTTGATGAGTTTCATATTTTCGAATTGTAGCTCCTTCTACAATTTAGTTTTAGTTTTAGACTTTCAGTCGAACAAGTTAGGCCGTGACTCATACCAAAAAAAAAAAGGAAAAAAGTTAGGCCGTGACTTAGGATGCGAAATTTTATTCCAAAAAGTATTAAAACAATTTTGTTGGAAAAAGTATTATAACAATTTTAATGGATGTCAAATCTCCCCCCCCCTTTTTTTTCGGTCTAATATAGTTTTTCGCACAAAAATATTTAATTGTTCGGAACACGATCATGACAAAATTAATCTATATGATTCTCATCAAAACCCGATTTGTAATCGTCAAATGCATAGTAAAAAAAGAATTCAAGAAAAAAAATTCGAAAAAATCAAATTAATCGTTTTAAGTTATGGATTATTATTTTTGGATGATTAGAAAGGTTGATCATGATGTCATTAAGCAAGGAGAAATATTTTGCAAGTTATATCAAAATATTTAAATAAAAATTTCAACAACTTAAATTCTTCTACATTAGCAAAATAGTCTAATTAAATTAGTAACTATAGATCTTAAAAAGTAAACTATAGATCTT